TCTTAGACTAACACAGTGGACCAATAATATGTAAACAAACACAAATCTAAATAATGTAGAAAGACAAACATTTTAAAGCTGTCATCACAAAACAAAATCACATTTATATCACATCCTGTTGTAGCCCATCCAGCCATATGTATAACACGTTATTTCACTGCACTGCAAATTAAATTAATCGTCATTTGTGAACAAGAAGTGCAGCCCATAGATTTACTTTATTATCTATGCAGCTATTACTTGAAATCAATGTGTTTTAAGTTTATGGCCAGTAGAGGGCAGACTTGGCACATAATTGGTTTGGCAGTGCAGGGAAACTTGAGTATGTCCTTAGTCTAAAAATAACGTGTCCTTTTTGTGAGTGGGCTGCCTCTCCACAAACCTGCCTCATGCATGTGGGCAGCAGTAGCTCAGTTGGTAGAGCCTTGGCCTTTGAGCCTGAAGGTCGTGGGTTCGAGTCCACCACAAGACTTTCTCCACCGTCTCCCACTGATGTCTACTTCACCCCATTGCCTAGAATGAGTCTGGTGTGTCTGGTGTGTGTGTGAATGGGTGGTGGTGGTCGGAGGGGCTGATAGCACAGACTGTTTTCCTTGCTTCTGTCAGTGTGCCCCAGGGCAGCCGTGGCTATAGTAGTAGTTTACCACTACTGTGTATGGAGTGAATGAATAATGACATGTAAAACGTCTTTGAGTGTCCAAAAAAGCGCTATATAAAACCAATCCTTTATTATTATTATGTCGAGGCGGGTGGTTGCTTCCATGCTTCTTTTGGCTATATTCTATTGTAAGACCTAAGACGTAACTATTTCCATGGCCTCTGTCCTGAGGAAAGCCACTGTACCAGATGTGAAACTGCTGAATGTTAGTTTTTTTTATGTGGTGAGGGCAGTGGAAGTGGTCTGCGGAGCATATGGCATCTCAACCTGCCTTGGATTTAAAGAGCTCCCCCCACCAAACCTCAAACAAAACGGACAATATCCCTTTACAAAAAAAATCACTTAAACCTTTGAACAGATGATTCTAGTTTTATTCAAGATTATTTCTGCAGTGTCAACCTTAAGCAACTGTTTTCTCTGCAGGCGGAGCAGACGGTTACAGTTCTACCCAGTGGCCCTATCAGGTGACCTGGGGGCTATAATGAAGACGAGGTAGGAAGTAAAACAGCAGTAATTGGAGCGGCGGTGCAGTTATATGACCCTGCATGACTGTCTCTCCTGGAGTGCTTAGAAAGTGGGGAGGAAGTATCATAATGTGTGTTTTAGTACACTCTTTCTTCAGCTCTCGAGGGAAACAAGCAAAACCAAGAGTTTAGATGAGGTGCTAAAAAAAGTTTAATGACCAATAAAACATCCAAAATGATTACAGTGAAAACCCTGCAGTGACAAAGGCTCCATAAACTGTTATAGGACACTGTCTCTTATCTAAAGATTAATGTTGGTTGTACCGAAATTATTTTTTTTACTAATAAGCCCACTTGAAATGATATATTGGAGAGCACATTATCCTATAATTAAAAAAAATAATTCTCACCTTTGGCTCTCCGCGGGCGGTTATCCCTCTCTAAGCTTGGGTCCTCTACCAGAGGCCTGGGAGCTTGAGGGTTCTGCGCAGTATCTTTGATATATTATAATAAACACTGGACAAACAGCTTGAAGGCCAGTCCTAAAATAGTGGAATCTGGAAGTTTACATGAAATTAAACTTCTGACTTTGTAGAAAGTAATGTTAGTAATGTTGGTAAGATAAAATAAAAATGTATATATCATAATACTTGTTGATTAATTTTAAGCACATTTTATATTAAACTGTAACACTATGTCATGAGAAGGCATTTAAGAGATAACGACACATTCTAACTTTTACGAAATTGGTCCAATTGTGTTTTAACAGGTGTCAGTGCAAACAGAACAACTTTGTATAAAAGTTAAACCCAGTTAATAATGTCTTTTTAACTTATTTACAGGCCCAGTCAGGGTATGTACCCAACCCTACCCGATTCAAATTGGGAGTTTTGATATGATTATACAATATGAATTGTGTAATTGTGCAGACATACCTTAGAGCTTCAATCGCTCAATCATTTCACTTTTATTTGTAGAGCGCCTTTCCCACACAAGGCAACACAAAGAGCCTCACAACCCATATTACATCAAGTATAAATCATAAACATATACACCTACACAAACATTAAACAATACATTTGAAATGCCAAACCCTGTGAGGAAAAAGAAAAACATTCCCATGAACGAAAAAATATATACAAAATCCAGGAGTGAAGTTTGTTAATAAAACAGAACAGATTCCTCTGACTGCCTTTGTGCCAGCAGAAAATCATTAATGCTTAGCTATCATTTGGACAACGGCCTTTCCTTGGCCCCTGTTCACTTTGCTGAATCTGTGTCATAACTAAAAGATGTATTTTTATGCCGTTCCAGACTGTGGGAACAGAAGGATCTCTGCTGGAGTAAAGTAGGTCCCATTTGAATTAGCTGCTCTCAAACGCTTTGCCAGTGTCGGAATGCTTTAGAGTTGTGATCAGATATCAGATAGATTACACTGTCTTCTTAACGAACAAAGATGTAATCCTCAGATGCTTTCAAACACAGGGCAAGCATATTTTATTGAAGAGATGGTTCTCCCTGGTGAGTCTTTTCCTTTTTAAACCCCACTTGTGCTGATATATTGTCTAGTTCCATTAAACAAACCTTTTCAGCGTTAGTGACTTTACATTAGCTGTGCCACCGGATCCCACTTCTACAGCAGCTTCTTTAAAGATATCTCTTCTAACTGTGTCAAATTCCCATGCAGATTTTTTTTTTCTATAAAATGAACTTGGGATTTTCTCAATGATGTAGCGTAGCCTCTGTATTCTTGAAAGCCTAGTGGTGGCTTCACTGGACACTGGATCCAGTTGAAAGTGACACATACCTTTACATAATGCATGTCCCGCTGGGATACACAAAGTGATACTGTGTCCTCCCAAGTATTATCAGATGCATATATCATGACTGTTCATTCATTAACAGTGGATTACCCGGATTGTCTCCCCCACTCTCCTGTGTATTGACATCTTGATTGAGGCTTTGAAAGACTTGTAAACTGCTCTGCCTTTTTTTCAACCTGATCCTGTAACTAAGCCGTCAATCACTATGGACTTCTCGCTTCGTCTCTCCAGTATCATATGATCCTTGCTTTTCTACACCAAGGTTGAAATATATATATAAATGGCAAGGCAAGTTTATTTATGTAGCACAATTCATACACAAGGCAACTCAAAGTGCTGAACAAAATAAGAAAGCATTAAAATCATAAATAATCACAGAACATTAAAAAGAAAGATACAAATATAAAATCCCTCAGTTGTAGCACAGCTAAACAGAACTGTCTTTAACCTGGTTTTAAACATTGTCAGAGAGGAGGCCTGTCTCACACTTTCAGGAAGATTGTTCCAGATTTTAGCAGCATGAATCTGAAAAGCAGCCTCCTCATGTTTAGTCCTGACTCTGGGCACTAACAGGAGTCCAGTCCCTGTGCTCCTCAGAGTCCCAGCAGGAGTCCAGTCCCTGTGCTCCTCAGAGTCCCAGCAGGAGTCCAGTCCCTGTGCTCCTCAGAGTCCCAGCAGGAGTCCAGTCCCTGTGCTCCTCAGAGTCCCAGCAAGAGTCCAGTCCCTGTGCTCCTCAGAGTCCCAGCAGGAGTCCAGTCCCTGTGCTCCTCAGAGTCCGGGCTGGTTCATATGGGACTAACATGTCACTAATATATTTTGGTGCGAGGTCATGGAGAGACTTGTAACAAGCAGAGCTGTTTTAAAGTCTATTCTCTGAGCCACAGGAAGCCAGTGCAGAGACCTGAGGACTGGACTAATGTGGTGGTACTTCCTGGTTCTAGTCAGGACTCGAGCTGCTGCAAATACCGCACCTCTTGACCACTGGATATGCAGGACAATACAATGGGGTGAAAACTTTACTGGTTGTGTAGGAAACAACTGAACCATGACTCAAAATAAATGGGTTAGCAGCTACAGAGGAAAGAACTGCCCAGGAAGCAAATGTGAACAATAATGCAGCATCGTGGACCTAGCCCTGGCAGCCAAGGTTAATGGTTTGTGGGCTTCCTGGCTTTGTTCACAAAGAGGAGGTCAACTCTCCCACCTGGAACAGGGAACGGTGGATTGTACGTTCTGTCAGTATTTATCTAATTAGCTTAATAATAACATACAGAACAGTGGATCACCTGGCCTCTAGTGTAGACAAGGAGAGATTTCCCTAATGACATATTTTATTCATTGATTATACATACTTTATAACTACACTTTTAACAAACACAAACCATGTCTTCCCCTTTCTGCTATTCATGAATTATTATTGTTTTTAAAAGTGACAAAGAATCCTTATCACCAAAACATCTTGATAAAAATACATTAAACGAGTAATGCTCTTTACATAATTGTTTAGTCCTCTCTGAGTATGAATCGCTCTTACTACATAGTGGCTTGGATACTGAGTAGAGTGTAAGACAATTTATATGGTATTCAAATACATGTTTTTCTATTTTATTATTTAGACCTATTATTGCAAAGTTTTCTTCCATTCCTCACTGTGGAAAGTCTCAGTCAGTCTCTGGGAAACATTGCTTCACACTCCTACATACTCTGGCAGGCTCCCTGTTTTTCCTTTCTCTTACGTCTTGGCCTGGCATTACATCTCTGGTCTGAAATGTGCTTTTCTATCCCCCTTTGAGTTAACTTAGGTTGCTGTGAGTGTAATTACGGGCCATGAGAGGGGAGGGAAACTTGGTTGGCAATTTGTTTTCAGTATTTTTCCAACTTTTGTCCTCAACCAACACAGACCTTAGCACCTCCTACAACCTCTCATTCCTGCACACTCTCTTATGAGCCTATTTTTCCCCTTCTCTTCCTCCTAGATCACCCATCACACAATAGGCTTCCCCTCCAAGCATGGGCCTGTAGGGGAAAGGGAGGCCAGATACGGTTTCTACAACAATGGAAATTCAATCAGGAAATGGAGAAGAGCCAGCCAGTGCAGTGTCAGCGCCTAGAGGCTTGGTTTCGCACACTCCTTCCAGGCCGCAGGTGGAGGCAGCCGACAGCCCAGTTCTCACAGAGGACCCACAGGCGACAAAGCTCATTGAGAGGTTTGACATTCAGCTAGACAGCCTCAAGAGGATGTTCGAGAAGCCGGCGCTGGCAAACTCGGTAAGTGCAGATATTTGTCATTTTGTCTGAGTCGTTGGTTCTGCGATGAGAATGAGTACAAAATACATGATTACAGGTTTGAATGTTGTCAACTGTTCTGTCTCTCTGTTGCCAGTTAGCAAGTGGGAAGTTCTCTTACCAGTTACTTATTCTACTGTAAATAAGATATTTTTAAAAATATGAAAAAAAATCTCACAATAACAGGGAAGAAGGAGGAAGTTAATTGACAAAAGGCAACGTGATTGTATGTCTAAATGAGGGCTGAACTGCAATCTTAACACTTTACTTTGATAGCTGTGTGTAAATGTGAAACTGATATTTTGTGTAGAAATGTCTTTGAAAAGTTTCTTTTTTTCTCTGATGCATAAAGAGGTCTGTTAGGGCAGAAGTGACTCATTTTGGAAATTCTCTCATTAACTTGTTTACTTGTTTTTGACCTACTTATCCTTTGTTTATCTGGATGCTATTACTTTAAAGTGATTTTAAAAAGGAGCTTAAGCTATCAATGAACTAATTCCCTGTTGTGTTGCCAAAGCCAATGCATTGTGGGAGATGGAGTCTTCTCTTTTATAACAGTGGCACAGCTCCACACCGGCTGCCTGTGCGCTATGCTGCTGGCCTGGTGACATCCAACACCCTGTCATTTAAGGCTATTTTGAGGAGCTTTATGGTTAAGCAGCATTTTAAAATAACTTGTGTGTAGTCTGACTGGAAGCTACTCAAAGCTTTAGAAGCTGAGGTTGTATCTGTCTTGAACCTGGGCCTGAGATGAAAAATAGACGCTACCTCAGTTAATGATGTGCATCATTATAGCACAGAGTCAAAGGACTAATTCATCTGCAGGCGCTGAAGACACAGCTCAAACAGTGTGTTTATCCGACACATATTTGGACACTGCTGAATGAAGCTAATGGCTCAGATAAAAGCCTGGTTTGTGGTTCTGCTGTTTCTTTGTCCGTCTTTGTCCAGTTGACCATTATCTATGTGCGCTCAGTAAATTGTCCTTTTGTACTCTCTCAATTTGGCCAAAAACATATTAAGAACTGGATCATGTTTCTCTGATCCCTTTGGAGACTATTTGCTTTGTAAAGCTGATTGCAGGCTGTGATAATTGTGTTTCTATAAATAACTCAAGTCTCCTGTTTCCTCCTCCGTAACAGAGACCTGTGGCATTTGTTTTTCTGCTAAATTTCTGCTTGAGATGTTATTGTGTTTGGAAACTAGTTTGACCTTTTGAAGTGGCAAGCTGAAAATTCATGAAAAATTTGCTGCTCCAGTTAGATCTTGACTTTTAATGACTTCATTCTTTGGATCCATTTATCAGCCAGGTGAGCATTAGTTCAGAGCATGTTCCTTCATACATGTTGTGGCCCTGTGTCAGCTGCTTCTACAGTCCATCCTTCTCCTTTGTTAGAAATAAGCTGTGTTAATGGAGTCTTTGGGCAGCGCTCCAGAATCCCACTGAGAGAAGAGCGACCAGAGCTTTGTGCTGGGTTGATTTTCAAACATGACCTTGTCCGACTCGTGTGCTCACCCTGGGCTTGATATTTGATTATTCTATGTATTTTTCTTTCTGTAGTCCATCTCTCATTATTTACACAGTGCAGTGGCGCTGGACAGCCAGTCATAACAGTGATGAGCTCCCAGGTGGGCGCTCAGCTGTAGACACACGTTCAGACACTCTCATGCGGAGGATAGGCTGCTTTGTCTGTCTACAATATACTCTCCACCACATGTCCCTCTGTTGGAACAATGAATTATACATTTTCAATCATATGTACCCAGTGTAGAATCTGACCAGCATGATTTGGACTTTAGACCTGTGTTATATCTGTATTACTGCTAAACATTATTATCTCAAGAACAGAACCTATTTGTTCCGACCCGCATGGCTAACTAGTACCTATATCTTAGGTATCTGCATCATTAATATCTCAAGTGTGATGACGTCTCTGTTCTTAGGCACATTGATACACATATAAAAAACAACGTCTTAATTTGTTTGATTAGGAATTTGAAAATAAACAATGCGTTAATACCAAGTGATGACATGATGCTCGACTACATCATACTAAGTTAGTAATTATAATAAACTAGTAGCAAATCAGGCCTGGGTTAATAGTTTGCTACTAATGCCTGGTATTATTTAACAGTACAATAATACAATACAATACAATACAATTTATTCTTGTATAGCCCTAGGTCATAACAGAAGTCATCTCAGAGACTTAACAAAACCATTGAAATCACCAACACAGGTCAGAGAATCAACAGCCAAAACACATGGAGAATATAAAGCACACACAGAAGAAAATGTCCATACATGTTGTAGAATGCCAAAGTGTCCTGATCATCACCAATCCTTTCTGTTGGACACTAACTGTCCAACAAGACCCTCCTGCATCAATCCTATCCTGCAATAAGCACTGACATGATCATTTATATTTCTACAACAACTTAGACTTTCAATTGTCAGTTAAATATGTAATATTCTGTCTATTACCCATACAGTACAATAAATCCCCATTTGGGTGTGTGTAATACTTTAATTGTCCAGTGGGTGGCAGTGTAGCATCTAAGACCTTCTCCACCTCCTTTCTTTATGATCCAGTGTGAGTGAAAGTAAATGGTAGCTTACCTAATCATGGCAGTTATCACAGTGAGACGAATTACTAATCACCTTTCATTAATGAGCCTTGCATTTTGCTCCTTGGGGGTTCCAGAATGACTTTAGAGATATTTATGAGCCTGTCAGATTATTGCGATTTGCATAATTAATGAAATAGCTTATATTCTCAATGTGGTTTTGGAAATATATGACAATATAATGCCCTAGAATGGCTATGAGGGAAGCATGCCACCCTCTATTAAGTAGATAACACATTTCAAGTGTTTAAAACATGAACATAGGACTTCATAAATCACCAACATTAGTTGGTGATTTATTGTTCATTGTGTTCATTGTGTGAAGCCATGTTGCTTCACACAATGAGTCATCACGGGCATCAATGGTTTTCTTTGGGCTACGATACAGAGCTGATTATAAAGGCTTCTCATCATTTCAACTCTGTAATACTCTCTCTGTGAAGGGCATGTTTCAAAGATAAAAAAGGTAACAACATTTTTGCCTTTTGTCATTGCTCATCTCTATGGTGCAATGACTCACTCTTCTTCAGCATTTAAAAGGCAAGGTGTGAAATTTGTCTCTAAGTGTCAAAAGATAAAGTGATTGTTGGCAGCATGAGGCAGCCTTCTGCAAAGTTGTAACCATTTTGAATAGGAATCAATCAAGGAATAGCGGCACTCTTGGAAAAGTCACTTAATTAAATCTTAAATAAACTGGAACCTTCAGTGCGTCTGCAAGATATTGATCCAGACGAGATGACCACAGCGGCGTCCTCATTAGTGCCCATTGAGCTCGTTAAAAAGAACATTAACTTTTACCAGGCAAAGTGTTACACTCACTTTCACTGATCTCCATCTTTTAATCCAGTTTGCACTGGGGCTCCAGCGTTTCCAGTCTACTGTGTGGCCCTGTTTAGACGGAGATGCTGTGGCAGTAAAACGCTGTAGTTGGATGTCCGTGGACACCTCCCGTTCACATGGAGACTGTGTTCCAGGTGAAAACGTAAGCGTTAAGATCCAGCCTACAGAGTGGGACAGCTCAGCGGAGAGCGCCTCAATCTAAACGGGGCCCAAGACGTGTGAATCCTTCAGTTTGTTAGCCAAACACAGAAATAGCTGCTCCGTTGTTTTGCGTTGGAACTGATAACAGAAACTTCATAGTTGTCTGTGTGAACATAACATTTTACTACTATTCTCGTTCTGATTCCTTATGGTTTCAAACTCTTGGGCGTATCTATAGTCACTCTTCACAAGATACATTCCCACTCTCCTATTATCCTGCTGCTTCTACCAGTGAACTATTTGCATGAAGAATAATTTGCATGCCCTACCTCTCTCTGTCTAGGAATGTGGTCTATGTCACTCTCAGTACATAACTTTTTTCAACCACTGTTTTGGTTTCATTTGCATTGTCATACCATTGTTTACCAAACAGGGATATAAAGTCTTTGCTATTGTCTTTTGGGTATGTTTCAAACATTAAAAGGAAGTGAGTTTGAGTCCAGGGAATAAAAAAATCTGAGCATTAAATTTGCCATCCTTAAGAGATTTCTGAGAATGTCAGCATTAATTCATTCGGACGATGAACACATTTAGTTGTAAGTACTCATGTCAATGTACTTTTACAAGTGTTACAGAGTATAATACTTTGCCATTTATTACAAGATGACTAATGTCCTGTGTCTGATTTCCTCAAACACAGTATGACACCACAGCTAATGTGTGCAATAATTATCCAAAGACCTTAAAGCTGCACTAACTGGGCGGCACGGTGGCTGAGTGGATAGCACTCTCGCCTCTCAGCAAGAAGGTCCTGGGTTCGAATCCCGGTCGGACCAGGGCCTTTCTGAGTGGAGTTTGCATGTTCTCCCCGTGTCTGCGTAGGTTTCCTCCGGGTACTCCGGTTTCCCCTACCACTAAAAATATGTCCAATAGTTCTGGCATGTGCCTCCTGTACTGGCCCCGCTCCCATCTCTGTGTGGAGTGAGAGACAAATGCCCATAATTAACAATTGTAAACCGCTTTGAGACTCAGATCTGCAGTGAAAAGGCGGTATATAAATAAAAACTTACTTACTTACTTACTTACTTACTAACTGACTTTGAGAATTTTCTAATGAGAACGATGAGCTCGCGCTCTCTGCTCGCCGCACGGAGCTTTCCTCAGCTGTCTGTGCTAACAGGAGACCTGTAGCTTTTCTCAAGAAAGTGGGGGCCAGTAGTCCTCTGTGATTGGTCACAATTTGGACCCGAAACACATTATTTTCCTTGTTTCACAAAAACTCGATCTAAAATTAAATGACACGCCAGCACAAATTTGCGCTACTTTTCGTTCAAAAGGACGTATATCCCAATGCACTGGATGGATATGGATTGAATTTTTGTCATGAATACAAAAATAAAGTCAGTTAGTGCAGCTTTAAGGCTAGTCAATCCTTAAAGTGATTGTCTGGAGTTTGTGAGAAAAAAGAGAGAGAGGTACAAAAACGACGCAAGCTCCTCGCCCTTCCTTTCTGATTGGTCTACACCTACGTTTCCGTAACACATTTAAATGTTAATCTGAGAACACATTATACATAAACATTATTAATACACATGCACGGAGGTTTTCAGAATTATTTGTTAACGTTTTCATGACAACTGAGCATGCGAGCATCATCGCCGATGATTGACAGCTCTTGGCATGACTCCATTGGTTAACGTGGACGGCATCGTGGATTCTGAGCTATAGCTAAGAGAAGTGAAGGCGGGACTTGCCTGTAATATTGGAATTCATAAAATTACTTATTTTATGTCATCTTTTAAGGCCGGGTCAATTTAACACAATTCTTAAAAAATGTAATTTATATGGAGTTCCAGACTATCACTTTAATTGTGGATATGATATGGGCGGTGGCACTGTGGGTGGCTGAGTGGACAGCACTCTCGCTTCTCAGCAAGAAGGTTCTGGTTTTGAATCCCGGTCGGAACAGCGTTTTTCTGAGTGGAGTTTGCATGTTCTCCCTGTGTCTGCGTAGGTTTCCT